TATATATATATATATATATAGTATATATGCACACTTTATTTTTATTTAATTCTATGAATTTATATTCTTGGTATAAAAGTGTATACGTTACATGTGTTGTATTCTTCTTACACTATGCATGTAAATAATGAGAGTTTCAATCCAGCCTCAATTCGTACTAAATTAATACGAGCTTAATAACGATCATGTTAATACGAATTGAGAGTGGACCGCAAGTCCGATATTCTTTCTCAAATGTTGATACATCAATATCGAAAGACAAAATATCGATACAAAATAACGGGCAGAAAAGTCTGAAAATATTTTATCGATATTTAAAAATATCGGCGCTGTATCGCCCATCTATAATCAGTATACTGATTGTATCATTAGCAATTATCTATTTTTCTAATTTACTAGAAATATTGCTAAAGAACTCGAAGTTGTATATATCACTCATCACTGTAAACTTTCTATTAATATTTTACTCATTTTTACAAACAAGCTAGCCATAGAAAGCCATAGCCTCGCTCGCTAGGATTCTACTTTCGGACGCAGCCATGTCAAGAATACACGTTTTATTCCGACTTACTGAATATTAGATTGTTCCATGCTTCGGGACCTTACGTGCTAAGGATATTAACAATTGTTTCTAAATAAATTTGTAATGATTAAACTACTTCCGTTGTTTTTTCCGGAAGCGGTTTGTCATTCGTCATATTTATCTGCGCAGGTTTATTAAATTTCTCGGCAGTCTTGCGATAGATCCGGTCTCTGATGTTTGCCAATGTACAAGTGATGCAATGCAGCACTGTCACAAATGTGAAACCGCCAATACAAACGAGTGACGTTCGTACTGGCTTCTTCCAATCGAGGATTTTGTAGATGTAATGATAACCATACTTGTCAAGACCGCCAGCAACATAATAGATCACTGAGAAGATTACGTAGAACATAACAATCGATAGGCACCACCAGAAGTTGCGCAGACGGAATGGTACGCTGGTGACAAATAGATCAGTCAGCATCAGCACGCTATTGCACACGTGCATCATGATATTGAGCGGGTCCACCTGATGGATTGCCGGATTATATACAGCGAGCCAGTAGCACACCGTTACGCCAATTGCCATATTGGTCGTGACGACGTACAGAAACCAGTACAGTCGCTCAGTAGACTCCAGTTTGAGACTGCAAGGATCGAAACCGGATATCTTCTGCAATCGCCATCGCTTTGACACGAGGATACCACCGATCAGCGCTTGTGTAAAGCCCAGAGCCATGTCCCAGTTTGTCAGATAGATTGGCCATTTCTCGTGCTGCTTTAGTGGTTTGTAACTGCCGAATTCAAACACCGAACATATGACAAAAGCGGCCCAGACGAGGAAGATGATCCAACGATAGTACAGATACCAGATGGCCACATACGACTGGCACTTTGGTTCGGATAGCACACGGGCCTGCGGTGGTTCCTGTTTGACCGTCTGTTTCCACCTGCGGCCAATTTCTTGGCACCAAAGTTTGCTCACCATTGTGCGGTGACCTGGAACGACGAGGAATCAATGATATTTCTCTTATATTACTATGTATTTATTGAAAAGAACGTGCATTAATATGTATATCTTGAATACGCGAATTCAGTTCGACAAAGATCGAATTTAATGTTGAGGGGCTGTTAGTTGAAACGTACTTAAAAAAAGTGAACAATCAGACGAAAGGATACGCGTCGGAAAAAAAGAAAATCTTGAAATAGAATCGAGAGATATTGGAGAACCGTGCGCCTCTCGACGACGACTCTTAACAAATAACGAGTGAGCAGCCAATTCAACCTGAAAACGGTACATAACAGGAACACGCAATCACGCTATTCCGAACAGAGCGTGATCCAATGATTAACGTTTTAATAAATGTAATTATTCTCCGAAAAGGACCGCGCATTGCTTCGTCGCGCTTGGACGAGCACGGAGCAAGCGCACGTGCGACACGACCACTTCCTACAATCGAACAGAACATTACGTTCATTCATTTTTTTTCTTTTCTATATACCAGCATAACTATACGGTTCTCGAATATTTCTTTGGAATTTTACTAACAAATTTCTAATTATATAATTTTTTAATATTGAATTGATAAGAACTGTTAAATGTACACTAATTAATTTGATGAATTGAAAGATTTGATTTTTTTCTTCCAAGTTTATAAAATTTTATAAATTTCGAACGTTTTTACTCCTAATGATAATTGCAACCGTAATTGCAATAATGAACATTTGTAATGACACCTTGCGTCGCTTTAATAACAAGGAAACCATGACGTTCGAAAATCGATTGCACACTTGCGAGACGGTCGCGATACATTTTCAATAGGCGACTTACATAGCGAACATTGTAAGAAGAACAACAGCAGTCGTTTCGAAGAAGGCAATCCTGTGAACGAGAGCACCATCCTCAAAAGAGAAGATCGCGATGATGCGACAAATATACGTGATCTGAGAACGCCTAACCTAACCTAACTGTTACCTAAGCTGCCCCGATTTGCGTTGACAGCTGATCAAACTAAACGCGCGAACGCGAGAAACGGCTTTTGGATTAAAAAAAAACAAACAAATGTTATCTCTAATTCTTTTACACACATAAGAAATGATACAGATACGGAAAATAATGTTAAAACGTCCGTATTTACGTGCGAATTTAGTCTCCTTTTCAGAATAATTAGATAACGAGTTGAGTGAAGGGACATGCATCTTTCGGTGCAGATTTCGTAAAAGGAAACTTTTTAATTCTTAAAATATCGTCAGAGAGTTGTTACAGAATTATATTTTGATGAAAAGCGACGCGATTTGAATATTCGCGTGAAACTGAATGAAGTAAGTTACTTTACATCTTGCATGCGATCGCGCGATTTTCTATCGAGAAGTATGTATCCGTACTGAAACCTTAAAATTTGAATTTGCGACTTACTTCAGACTGACAAAAAACAAGAGAAGCTTGAATGCGTTCCTTCGATCGACGTTGCAAAGTAGCTACTAGAAACGCAATAATAAGTAAGGAGAGAGAAGATTCAACGAAATGAATTCTGATCGCTCGGAGGCGTATCTCTGGGAGGAAGATAATGAATGCAGGTAAACGTCGCAAGGTGATCCACTAGGTATGCAAATACGATTCGCTCGAGTCTAATTCTAATGACGATAGTTTCGTGTATGGTCACGTAATCGAGTGTTCGAGTCGGAGTGTCTCTCCCCGCACACCGTCACGACGACGACGCGGATGGGAGGCCACTTTGTACTAATTAACCTCGTTGGTCCACCGCGACGCTAAGGTTCACACGACATGACAGGAGAGATCGGCCGGCGCTCATACATAACGCGCGCCTGCAAACGGAAGGTCGGCCGGTCAATCAGCCAATACTAATTCACCGTTCATTTATTACAATCTTGGTCTATTACAGCTTGTTATATTGGCACGAGCAAATGGTCAAGCTTAAGCGAATCGTTATCTCTTGGAGTACCTACCTTTGCGAAAGGTAGAAAAAAGGAAGTAAAAATGCATAGACGAATCGAAGAAGATATTGCCGAGATATATCGCTCCTAGAAATTGGATTCTCCATTTTGAAAATGTATACATGCTTTATGGTTCTTAACTATCTTTTTTTAAATATCTTTCGATATTATTCGATTTTATTATGAATTTTGAAATTAGTAAATAAACATAAAGAAAGAACGAGAAACTTAAACATAAAATATTTGTCTATTTTTAGGCATTACAGAATGCTAGGAAATAAATAATTTCGCCTTGTGTTTGAAGATGTTATGAAATAGTTAATGTATAATGAGATACCGATTCGCAAAAATTCTTATCAATTTATTTAATGTTTATTGACAGACTTTAATAGTAGATATGATTGCGTGGGAGATAAGAGACTTTGTAATTTACAAGCTACAATACACAACAATAATTTACTAGTAACTAGATAATACATATGTATATTTAATCTTCATAATAATTATGTAGTCAATATTATGATATAATAATTCATTTCGTTTAAGAGAAATCTAAAATATGTAGTAAAAGTTAAGGGATATATTATAAATTTGATTTTGTATTTAAAGATGATTATAATTTGTAACATCATAACTTACATTCATTCATTTTCTTTAATTTAGTTATTCTTTATGAAATTTTGAAAACTAATGAAAAACAAAATACAATATCAAAAATTAACGTATCAGTGGAAAAGCTTTCGATTAGTCTAGATTTCACATTAATAACAGGATTAATTTAATTCTTCATTCTTTTAATTTTTAATAATTAATGAGACTCTTTGTGTTATAAATATGTAAATATTCTTACTTAATTCGATTAGTCCATCTTGTTATCAATCCATTTTCTTCTTAGCTCTAAAAATCTCTCTTTCACATTTCATAATTAAGATTGTCAAATAAAATTCACATTTTGAATAAACAGAACATAAAATTTACACCATTATTCTATTATTCACAGATATAATATGCAATTTGAGAAATTTTGGCGACTGCTCGTTCGGTTAGCAATATGCAACGCAACTTTCGCTACTGATGCTGACGATTGACTAACGTGTGAGATGAAGAAGTTTCCGTGTATAAGAGAAATATATACGTGAGAACGGCACGTCAAATTGACGTCAAGATAAATGATAATCGCGGCGTTTCGCGGGAAAGCGATAAAGAATAACGAATGTTTACACATCATATATTAAGGTAAGTGTAAAGTCATAAAAAAAGAAAAACAGAAAAGAGGAAAGAGAACGAAAACATCTTTTAACAAGTTATATGATATATCTGACAGCTGTGATAAAACAATGTCTGTGCACTCTGAATCGAGAGATGTGTCTTTTAATTTAGTGCGAACTTATTAGTTCTTCTTTCTAACTATATAGAAATAAGCATTGATACTGTACAGTCATTTATGTGTAATACATCCGGGTATCTGATATATTATTATGTATAAGATATCATGATAAGACTTGAAAGCTGTTTGTTAGTGATTTGTTTATATATGTATGTATGTGTTTTTGTATAATTCTTATTAGTACAATCAGTGAAATTGTTTTTTCATCAGTTATCTGAAATACACTTGTCAACAGATTAATTATTAATTTTAAGAATTATTCATTACGTTTCTCTCGAAACGTATTACGTCTTTTCTGTTTCTTGTGACATCAATGTGTGATATCAATGCGTATAATGATTCTTGTTAATTTTGGACGAATTTGTGTACTTTGTCTACCAATTGATAGTGTATTGGATAAGCACATTGCCACACTATACATATATACACAGTACACATATGTACCTGCACTACGTATAGAACTCTTTCAGCTTTTTTTCACATTTAACACAATATATCGTTATTAAAATTGTTATCGATATTTTTTGGCTGAACACAGTGTTTGCAATATGTCAAAGATACTCGCTAGCTGTTGTTCACAACATCCCCGTATCCTGCACATCATATTATATTACAAAGATTGTTGTTGCTGTCATTATTTTGACACTACACTCAATTTATCTGCGATGGTGCATCGTCGATATTGGAGAATTACTCTAAAGAATCCCGTTAGGACTCGAAAATCTAAGAATCTTGAATATTATGATCTTTCTTTCTCACTTATAGAATTCAACAATTTTATAAGTTCAAAAATCTGATTGGGAATTTACGAGATGTTCTAGGAAAATTAGAGGAAAAGTTGAGAAACACGCACCGCATAACACGGAGAGCTTTGGCAATTTCTTCGGGACTTGTTCATTGAGGTCGTTCTTTTCCAACATGTCGCGAATCTCGATCTCTTCACACCCAGGAGATATTCCTCTTTTATTTTACTTAGCGATCAACCTCCTGTTCAACGTACGTTTCGCCTCTAACTGTCCGGCACCAGTCCCGCGTGTTCGTAATCAATATCAATCCCGGGGTGGATACCGGTGCAAATTTTCCCTCTCCAAACTTTTGCAAGCATGTTTCCCATTGAGAAATCCCTATCTTTATCAATACAAACACGTTAAGACGATGCGAGACAACGATATTTAAAACCCGATCACATTAGGGTTTTTATATATTTTTCAACATATTGAACATATGGAAACAAATGCGACATATACGTATATTTAACAAATACTTTCAAATAATTAACGATCTAAAAGAGATGTTGATTATAATGATTATAATGTTTTTTTGCAATAATTATTAAAGAAAATATATGTAATAAATAATAATAAGGCTCTGTAAGTATAAAATAAAATAGAACAATTGAAAAGCTAAGAGCCAGTTATGTAATAAAGAACATTTATTTTCAAAAAAATTAAACATTCTTTATTACATAACTGGCTCTTAGCCTTTCAATTGTTCTATTTTAAAAATAAATATATATTATATAGTTAAAAGTTTTATATATGAGTAACAAAAATGTAATGAAATGTTTGGAAATTGTTTTTATATCAAGAATATCATGAAAATCGCATCAACCCGAATTTAACTTGAATAATTAAGAAACTATAAAACGGCTCAATTAAAAAAATCAAATATAATACACATTTAGTCAGAGGCTACAAGCCTAGTTGTTTATTACAAATTTAAAACTGAATAATTGATTTCTTTATTTATATTTCTTTACATAGGTATATTTAATCAAAATATACATTTATACGGAAAATTATCTCCATGAACACATAGATCGAATAATATAATAGTTGATCCCATATTTAAAATTATCTTAAATCTATAATTTCAAAATGTTATGAGCTAATTACAGAGAAAAGTATTAAAATGTTAAGTAATATGTTTTAAAATTCTAATATTCTGCTTTGTGATTGGCTTATGTCATCTTAAAACTGTATTTAAGCCCTTTTTTTTTAATGTAAATCAACTGTGAATACCAATCATAGAGTATCATGCATTCATGTATTTTTTTTATTATGCATATTTCCATGATAAATTGACGCTGTCTTTAATTTATTTATTCTTTTTTATTGGTTTATCTTATGATGCAATTAGATTGATGTCGTAACTATATATTACCAGACAGCATAGAATATTTATGATAAATCTTTATTACTATTTATTTTTTGAAATATACAAATATTTTATACATATTTTATATAAAATTTTATTCGAAATATTATAAAAATATAGATTAAATATTTTATGTAATATTTATATGATAATATAAATAAATATTTTTATTTATTAAGTATTTTTTACTTTAATTATAATGTTTCATTAAGTATTTTCATAGCATTTACTATAATATTTACAATAAATATTTCATAATATTTGTAATAAATGTTTATGATCTGTGAAGTCTAAGGCCACAAAAATATTTACAAAATATTCAAAATAAATCTTATAAATATTTACAAATACTTTGCAAATATTTAATAAATATTGTGTGTTATCTGGGTTATTCAAATTAATTATTGACAGTATATAATTCCAATATATGTATGTATATATGTTTCAAAAGATCATGCTTTATTTGAGCAAAGAAACGCTTTTTCATTTAAAAAGTCTCTCTCTCTCTCTCTCTCTCTCTCTCTCTCTCTC